GCAAATCTGCAAGACTCCTCAGAGGAGTTGTAATGATAGTGGTACATGTTGCCTCTGTCGCTAAGTTAAAACCGATCTTCTTGATCTTTATACAAAACTGAGGAATCTCAAACAAAGATCAAGGTGTGGAGAAACATTCTGATGATGCCTTTTGTTAATGTGTTAATGAACCTGCTTGGTTAATGTCATAGAAAAAGTCATATAAGCCCCCAGACAAAATCTTTTACCTGAACCTGTATACTTACCAATGACAATGCTTTTCAAAGACTGAAGCCTAAATTAAAATATGAAAAGAAGAGGTGGGTAGATAGGGGTTCTTGGTAGCTGTTCGTCTGCTAAGTGGGACAAATTTTTGATCTTTATTAAAACTACTAATACCTTTTGAAGCAAGTAAGACATTTGTGTCTTTTGTCCTTTCTTTTAATTTTGACTTTTTGTCTTTGTCTGCACAACTACTTTTCTGCTAACTTGAGAGCTACTCTAGCCTATGCCATTCATCACAAGTACATCTCAGAGGGACTTGGAAATGTTTCAAGTTTTAACAATCAGAGACTTAACCTGTTTTTTCTCATGTAAGTTACCTGCCTAGACACACTAGGAAGACAAACACTGAATAACAGAACTTGAATAATAATAGTAACGAGGAATTTTGCATGAGAAATAAAAACCTGGTAAAATCAGGTCTTTTGTTGTAGATTGCTGAGATACTTTACCAGTGTAAGAAAAAGAGTGTCGACATTTGTCAGGCTATCCTCCATAAATTAGAATTACTGTACAGGGGAGGTGCAGCCTTGGCTGCCTTAACGATCCCGGTAACATTCTCTATTTTGTTGTGGATTTTTTGCTTTGAAATACAAGGGGATATTTGGGGGTATGTTGGTGACACTTGAAGTCTCTATTTTCTTAGTTGGTCTTTTTGTTCTATTATCATTATAATTCTTTTTATCTTAACTTAATCACGTTTTCTGGCTTGCTTGTCAATTTAAAAGATAAATCTTTTTAAAAAGAAAAAATGCTTTTGTTGTTTGTGTTGTGTGTTGTTTGGGGGTTTTTAATGAATTTGTTGCCTTAGAAAGGTGTAAGGTTGACAGCCTAGGAAACTGAAACATCAGTACATATTTTCTCAGACTATTTTGATAGTATGCTTTATCCCTGACCTGGAAGAGCCACCTCTGCATTTGAGAGGATAGTTCATTCTCCATAGCTTATTCAGTCCTTGTCCTTTTTGCTAGGACTACCATCAAGATTGCTAATTATAGTAATACGTTTGTGACGTGGGTACTTTTCCTCTGAAAACTGGTCAAATTAATTTGATACAGGCCATACAGCAGCCATTAGCAGGTACCAGGTTTCAGCCACCATCAGTTTGACCTGAATAGTGGCTAAACTACTGAAGTAGTAGTGTTTATCTCTCATATCCTGTTTCATTTTTTAGTATTCCTCTCGTAGCCAAAAAAAAGTTCACAAACTGTTTCATATTTCCAGTGGGTTTCAGACCATTTTATGCTGAAACTGAGTTGCCTATTTGCAATTGCAAGAAACTAAACCTGCATGAGTTAAGACAGCACAAAATAATGTCAAGAGTGGGCTTTACACAGCCTTAAATCCATTGGGTTTTGTTTTGTTTCTTGTTCTGTTTTGTTTTTACAAAAAAAGCCGTTGAAGGTGTGGCTTGGACAGAAATGCAGGGTAAAGCACATTTTTCAAATTTATGAAATAATTTCAGCTGTTAGTACTGTAGCATCTTCCCTCAAAGAAAGACATAAAAATATTATAGCTTTTAAACTTCTTATTTTGATGGAAGAAAAGTGGCTTTAGAAAAAAGTGGTTTATGTCCACTAATTTGGCATCACTGGAAAGGGAACAAGAGGAAAATATTAGCAAGACTTGCGGGTTTTTTTTCGTTTTGGCACTCAACATAATACTAGGAATTTAGAAGACTTTTTGTGGTATGATATTTTTACACTTCTATCTATTTTTCTTAAAGGAAACTTCATAAAGGCTGAGCTTTTCAGATTTCTGTGGCTAACACTTTTCTGGGTTTCCTAGCAGTGCTTTTCTTTAAATGGAAATGCAATCAGCCCTTACTTCATGGTGCCTTCGGTATTTCTTTCAGGTCTGACCGCTAAGTCCAAGAGTCACATCCTCACTAATCCCTGAAAAAAATTATTGTTCCTCACCACCTTGCTACGTATAGATACATGCATTTAGATACGCAGATACACATCTTTACCTTTCTCAGAGTTGTTTTGTAGTGTCGCTGGATTTTTCTGTACTTCACACTCAGGAATTGTGTTTGGATTACAAGAGCTTGTATGGCTAGTTGATGGCATTTATAGAGATCCTGACTCTGATTCACTACTTTCATTAGCGCTAGAATTCAAAATATTAATGATGTCATAATACTGACTCTGAGCAGAATTGTTCGTTTCCCTGATGTATGGGGCCATGTCTGCTTTACGGGTGCAGACGTTTGATGGCAGCTCATGCAAATTTGTGGAAGCGTTAAACACATAATGGTGTAGATATGGTAGCCCAGAGTTAGCTACTGAAACGTTTTCGGAGGTTGCAGCTGGTGTTGAGCTTCACATACCCTAGCTGCGCTTCCCTTTCTAGTCGCACTTGGCTAAAGATAGCATGGATAAATATGTACAGCTTGTAGTTGCGTCTCTCCCACCAGTGCGCATACATCCTGAGTGAGATCAGAATGAGTCTTGTCAGCATTTATTTTACAGGAATTATCTTTAGTTTATGTGGTTATTTCTCCACAGGAATAAAGTTTTTCCTGTACCTTTTGAAAATTTATGGCAAAGTTGATTTTTAAAACCTTGTGCGTAAATTTACTGTTTGGCCTTTGCATATTTATTACATCTTCACGAATGCAACAGCAACTGAAGCTAGAGACCAAGAGCAGCCCTGGTGCTAGATCAGGAAAATGGAGCAAGACTGGCTTATGGCTGGATGTGGGGCCCTTCGCTCACTCCTAACGGCCCGGAAGCCAGTCACATTGCACCACTGCTCATGCTCCTGACAACTCATCCATTCCATATTTTGCCCAGCATTATGGTTTCTAAGCTTTCACCTACCCACACAAACTCCTTTGCGCCTACAGTAGGTGTGCACAGAAATGCTGTATTTCAGATGCTCAATGGGAACCTGACAGTAACATGAGAGGGTTTGGGGTTTTTTTCCAGGAGGAGGCACCTGTGCTGCCTTCCGGATTGTATGTGTGAAGTATAGTAAATATGTGGGTTAAAAAAAAATCATAATTCAAATCCCTATAGTGGTACTGATCAGATCTCTGTTTCTGTAGCAATGAAAACCAAAGGTGGCCTTTTAAGGCTCACAGTTCATCTACCAATTTCCAGTTCTGCTTCAGGATTCTTAAAGTATTAGAGTGCGTGCTTTAAACCCACAAAACTTACCTTTACCTAATTTTCACCATTCTAACCTAAGTTTCCACGGAAACAGGGTTGAAAAAGCCGCTGGTAGCCAGCAGGCAGCCAGCAGCTGAGAGTGAGAACTCTCCTTTGTCACTTTCCACTACTGGATGCCTGCTGCGTGCCAGTGTGCAAAGCTACCTAGGCTTCTAAAATCTGGATTACTTTCAATTTGAGGGGGAAAAATTAAATTAATCTACTTTTTTCTCTCTTTGGATTGTCACAGTAAATTCCAGGAGGGCAAATGGGCTAATGAGTCCTGATCTGTTCGGTTACACTGAGCCCCACATAATCAAAGCTTTCCCAACCAAGTGGGCCTCTCCTTTCATAATTTCCATGTTTTCAAAGCATTCTTTCACAAATTTTGTGTCTGTGCCCATCTACGTGCGTATTGTGGTACCTTAATTCTTTATGGCTCTGTATCTATCTATCGACATATTTACAAGCCTTTTTTGCATCTAATATAGTCAATGTATAAAATTTCCTTTTTTCCTGTATACTTAAGGAACATTTCTGAATGAACTGATCCTCAGTTAAATATTAGGAGTAGGATGTGAATGGAGATGGCTTTTAACCAGAAGTAGATTATAGCTGCGGGAAGACTAAAGGGTCTATTTGGTCAAGACTCATACAAAACTGAGATAAGCATGCACAACCTGACAAGATCAGATTAGACCCTTCCCCCACAAGTGCTTTTCCCATAAATATTTATCTGCTTTCTGTTATAAATAACCAGGAAATGAAAAAAGAAGGATAGATTCTTTTTTTAAAAATAGCCTAGAAATAGAAATGCAGCTTCAAATCTTCAGGGTAATGATATTTTAAGTATGCAGTGAATTCCAATACGAGTTTCTGTTTTTTAAATGGGAGCAAAGTACCGTAATTCTTCATGGCAGCTACAAAAATCGGCAGCATTTATAATCAAAGAAGAACTTTGTGCATATGTGCATTTTTGCCTACTATTGGGTACCTTAGAATTAAATAACTTATCACCTATGAGAGAATAGGTGTTGACAGAGTCAGCACTGCTGTATTTTTAAGCTTGCCTGAGGCAACATAGCTGGCATTGAAGTTAAGCTTGGCATTTTTTCACCCTGTCTCTCCTCCCTCTAGCCCAAGTGAATGCTCACTTCATCAATGAGAAGCACAACTGACTTGCCTGCCAGATGTAACGGAGATCCATGAATTCACATCTATTCTGCAAATTTTTGTTTCATTCAGATTGTCGATACTTCCTTGTGCAGTGGTGTTAAGGGGTAAAAATCTGAAGCCATACATGTGCCACTAAATCAGAAATGCATATTTGTTGGTGATCCACTCATCAGAACCTGCGTGGATTGCCTTGCTGTTAAAATAAAAAATAGCTCTTTAGCTTTGAGATTTAAAACCTTAAAAATGTACAGAATAATATTTTTACATTCATCTTTGAAAGTAACAAGTGTGTACTTTTTAAAAGACTTCTGTGTCACATGAGAATAATATTAATACCTTAAAAATCTCAAGATGAAAAATATAAGTCCTTTTTTCTTTTTTTTTTTTTTAAATCTTTTTTTCCTCTAGCATTTTACGATGGGATAATGAGACAGATGTCTCTCAACTGGAAGGACATTTTGACATTGTTATGTGTGCTGACTGGTAAGTACATAAAAATCATAAAACTCATGTTAGAAAAATAGCTTTGCTGGAGTAATTGTACTATGCTGCTTGCTGATGGCTAAGCAAAGTCAACAAATGAAGCACAAAGCCACCTTAACCTCAACAAATTAATATTCATCTCCATGTGACAGTTATAAGGTAGTCTTCTATCACACAGTAACTTCTACCACATTATTTCCCAAAGATTGATTTTGAGAAGCATTTCCATTTTCTGGAATTGCCTCTGTTTCATGCTTGACGTATCAGTAAATGGACGACTTAGGCAAATTGCAAATAATTATGGCTCAGTGAGGAACAGTCTGGAGAAAAGGGAGTTTATCAACACAAACAGCTCAATTAGCTTACTTCTTAGGAAAGATCTGACTATTGATATAAGGGGATATATTTTTTGCTCCCTGGAAAATCTTTCCGAGGAAAAGAAGATTTTCAAAACCTTTTTTTTTCCCCCGTCATGTTCTGTTTCTTAAATCAATTTTCCAGCAATGTTTGTAGACACAGGTTTTATATTATTTGCACAGGCATATGTTAATTCCAAGAGAATTGTTAGTAAAAAAAAAAAAAAAAGAGTACAGCACTTAATTTATGAAAAGGTAGATACAGGTTACAATATGGTATATTGTTTAGTAATTTATGCAAATAGATTTGGTTATCGACACAACCCTTTTCTGATACTGCATTTGCAGAATTGTGCTGTGCTATATTTGCTGCATGCTAGCTTTAAAAATGATACATTATTAATTATTTGTGCTATATAAATGGGCACAGTGTAAAAAGGGATGTGCAAATTTCATTTAGGAGAGTAGGTATTTTTTAAATGAATCTGTCTTTCCCTCGTGGATTTTTTCTCTTTACCCTTTAAATGTCCAAAACAGAAAAAGCTGTTTATGTTTTGTTGCATGTAACTGTTGTGAGAGCCCAAATTCTGAAAACAGGGACTTCCTAGGGCAGCTCAGTTCAGCAGATTACTAAGAAATAGTTAAAGGAAAAAGGCAAAGGGAAGTATGAAGCTGTCTATTGTCTTTTTAAACAATGGTCTTTTTAAGTGGCTTCTGATAAAATATTCCTCTAAAGCTTTTTTTTTCCTTCGATATTTTGCTATTTGAGCAAACAATTTCTTACTTCAGAAAAGTTACTGGGTTTGTATAGCACTGGAGAAAGTGTGTTTAGTCATCTTTTTTCCTTTTTCTCATACCTATTTGTTGATAGAATGCAACAGTGCTTCGTTTCTCTTAGCATTTAATTTCAGAAAAGTTCTTTGTTCCCAAAAAGGACAGAGAAGGGTTTCTAACTAATCGCTGATAATGTGCCTCAGAGATGCATCATCTGATTAAAATAAGGAGCTAAACAACACCATATGATTTCAGCAAGTAATTTAGTAAATGCCTTCCTCACCAAATATTAGAATGGATACTCCAGGTTTCATTGCACAGATGAAGTTAATGCTGGACAGGATTAGATCAGATTAAGTATGAAAGTCAGATCAGAGTGCTGGCGGACATGAGCAGGAGGGCAGCAGTCTTCTCGGAGGCTTAGACAAGGCTCACATATGGATGTTCTCCAGATTATGTGGGTGAAGCAAGGTCTTGCCAAGAGATTTAGAGTTAAATTTGTTCTTCACACAAATATCAAAACAACCTGGCCACGCTATCTCTTGTATTCTTGATACTCACACCATGTCATCCTATTTGTGCTGGGAGTACAGCAGAGTGGAACAAGACTTAAGTTATTTTTTTTTTCAGTAATATTCTTGCCTGATACTCCTCCCAGTCTGTTTGGAAATAGTGTAGTTTCTTTAGGAAACACAGAATCAAACATGACAGGTAAAATACATAATGCATTTGCAATCCCTGCATTTTGTACATTTATTTTGAAGCACTTAAGATGCAGGTAAGTGTATAAATATTTATAGATTTCTAAAAAATAAATAGAAATGTGCAGGTTAGTTTGAAGTATGTGGGTTTATTCACAAATTGTCTCTATTTTCTTATTGCAAGTGCCCATATATATAGTTTAATAAGCATGAAAATCCCTTTTTTGTTTGTTTCTTTTAGAAATCATTCTTTTAGTTATGGACACTAGGTTTTCTGGTACATGAAAAGGCTGGGGAAAAAAATGTTCCATGGTTTATCGAACTCAAATCTTCTTTTCATTTTCATGTATTTCTCTTCCGAGATATAGAATCGGCTTGAGAACTGTTGGCAGGATTTTTGCTCTCTGAATTTTTTGGGCTGCCATTGAAGGAGAAAAAAAATATCTCTTTTCATGTAGCTCCTCGGTTGAAACCTGAAGTATGCAGTGATAAAAACAGATAGAATAGATTGCATTTAGTTTAACACCATCATATAGCTCATTGTCAGTCAATAAAATCTGAGATTAGAACAGAGAACTAGAAAGCAAAAAATCTGAGTTCAAATATTAGGTACATGGATAAATTTTTATTGAAGTATTTCCAGCAAGGGTGATATTGTCTGATTCTCTGAATAGCTAACCAGTAGTACTGCTTGATCCCATTTACATGAAAACAAGCTCTATTCATAAACATATTCCAAATCCACATGGAGGTTCAAGTAAAAATGTACATGATTACAACAAGCAGCGATATGTTTATATTCATATATTTACAGTCAGACTTTCATAAACCTTGTGTGCAGGAGTGGAAAATAAGTTATTTCCCAGAACAGGCAGTCTATTAGTTAACAGCTAAATTTAGTAGCTCAACTAGATTATAAAATAAATAAGAGGCAAACTGTGAAAGCTAGTCATTATTTAACCATTCAGG